GATTATTCTAAATGAGGATGTTTTGCAACCCAGTTTTCATGTGTATTACACAATGATACTGTGGCAGAGAAATAACGTTAAGAGGAACATGAGTGTCTCTAAGGGGCCAAAAGAGTTGGTTAAGTGACTTTCTTCATAACCTAAATGGATACTGATACGTTTCTTCTGAGTTACTAATTATAAATCACAAAATGGTGATAGGAGAGTCCAGAGAATTAGTAGTAAGACCCCAAGAAAGCCAGATGTTCACTTCTAAGAAGAGGAGAGGTGAAGCAGGGACCATGTCATATGGTGTCTGGAAGTTGGGCTCCAGAGCCATCAGACTGGGTTTGACTCTTGCTCAACTGGGCAAGTTACTTCTTTCTCTGGGCCTCAGTTTCCTCACTGAAAAATGTGATTTTTAATAGTCTTGGTTATTAATAGAACCCATCTCATAGGGCCATTGTGAGAAACAAGGAAATGATGTATGTAAAGCATTTTCCATAGAGCCAGACATAGTAAGCATGCAATAAATATTGGCTATTACAAATATTGTCATCTTTAGGTAAAGATAATGGATAATTCTGAAGATTCAAAGGGGAAAATTTCCAATAACAACCTAAACATTTTATTTTTCTTTTTCTGTGGGCCCAATTTCCTGCCTCAAAGCAGCTTTAATGCTACATTTGGCTCCTCAAGGGATGAGGCAAAGAAACATTCTAGGAATGTGTTAGAGAAGTTATTTCTTTTAACTCTTTGATTCTTATTCTCCCTAAGTATATTTAATGTTTTTAAATGATCAGTTGGGTTTTTGTAGTGGATAGTCTATAAAACGTACCATATTACATACAAAATGTCAACTTGGAATGCCTTGTTTCTAACTAATAAGTCTCACTGTTCCTAAAGAAATAAATAATTCTAAACTTTAGGTGCTAGATATTTGAAAACTCCTCCTCTGTAGAAATTACAAAAAAAATAAAATAAAATAAAAAGAACTGATGGAAAAAGTTCTTTAGTATTTGCATAAGGATTTTACAGATCCCAAGGTAGGATGGCAGAAAACACACACACAGACAAACACACACATGTGTTATTTAGTATTCAGGCTAGTTTAGGATTACTCAATTTCAGAAAGAACCAGTCATATAAGTCCCCACAGCTGCTCTGTCTCTGCCAATGACACACTTTGTCCAAATGGATGTTGGGATCTCAAGCCCTTTCCCTGCTACTGCCATTCTAATCCCTGGTACACTGTCATCTTCCTGCAGGACCCACTGAAGCTCTCTATTACATTCCTTTGCTGCTTTCTTGTTAGAGCCTTCTCTTGACATACCAGGAAAAATGCCCAGTGGTCTAGGCCAACATCCAGGCTCTACCTTCCTCCCCATCAAGATGCAAGAGTTTTAGTGCTAAAGGGGTTGGTACTTAAAACCCAGAACTATGCAAGTTCTGGGAACTGAAGACTCAGGCCTAGGGCAACTACTAGCATTATCCTAGTGATATTTTATTTATAAATATTTTAAAATGTTAATTTCTTTATTTTGAGAGAGAAAGGGTGGGGGAAGGAGCAGAGAGAAAGGGGGAGACAAGAATCCCAAGCAGGGTCTGCATAGAGTCTGACGTGAGGCCCGTGAGGCCCAAACTCACGAACTATGAGATCATGACCTGAGCTGAAACCAAGAGTCAGACGTTTAACTGACTAAGCCACCCAGGTGCCCCTCTAGTTATTTTAAATTAATAGGTTTTTGTGCGTTTGTCTGGCTGGTGGATGCTAATAACAGTGCTTCTTTTGGAAAATGTATGCTCAGTTCTGCAAAATCATCTTTTAAATAAGCTTTGCAACCCATTTAAAAGTGAGTGCATTTCCTCAAAAAGTTAAATAGAGAATTAACATATGACCCAGCAATTCCAATCCTAGGTATATACCCCAAAGAGCTGAAAAATAGGGATTCAAAGAAATGCTTGTACACAATGTTCATAGTAGCCAGAAGATTGAAACAACCCAAATGTCCATCAATGGATGAATGAATAAACAAAATGTAGTTATATGCATACAATGGAATAATATTCAACCACAAAAAGGAATGAAGTAGTGGTACATGTTACAATATGCACGAAGCTTGAAAACATTATGTAAACTCAAGCCAGACACAAAAGAAGAATTACTGTTTGATTCTACTTATATGAAAAATCTAGAATAAAGCAAATTTCTAGAGACAGAATGTAGATTAGAGATTCCAGGGGGATTACAAGGGGAGAAAATGGGAAATTATTGCTTAAAGAGCACAGACTTTCTGTTTTGGTGATGAAAACCTCTGGAAATGGTAGTGATTGTATAAGACCATGAATGTACTAAATGCTAGTGAATTGTATACTTTAAAATGGTTATTTTTGTGATATGTCAGCTTCAAATCCATAAAGAAATATACTCAGTATCTAGAAGTATACAAAAATTGAAGTAGCAGATAAAGTGTGTTTTGCTCTATAAAGAACATATGGTGAGAAAAGAGGACTGACTTAAGAGCTAGAAAACCCAAAAAGTCGAGTTTAAGCCTTAACTCGGCCATTACTACTTAGGCCTTCTTAAACGAGTCATTTCCTTCTCTGAGCCTCAGTTTCATCATGTAAGGAAAATGATACCATCTGCTTTGCTTAATTCTGAGGCTGAGATTCAGAAACTGCATAGCAAACTAATATAGCAGAGAAAAAAGTACTAATTACTATAATAAATGCAAAGTTGGAAGCACTGGAACCCCAAAAAGCAAAAGAATGAATATATGCTTTCTCTTTCTAACACCTCATCTCTTACTTCAGATGCTAACTAGGCTTTAGGCAAATCTTGAGAAACAATTATTTGGTCTGGAAGAGGTTCAGTATAGTCCAGGGTAATTGCTGGAACTTACCAAGCCGGGAAACAAAGTCAATTTTAGTCTGAATCTGCAGGAGCCAACCCAGTCTAGATAAGATTCTGTCTTGTGCCGTAAGGAATATAAAGCCACAAAGGGATTCTAGAATCCATCTGTAGTCCATGACTATCATTCAGATTATAAATGATCTATAGGTGGAATGGGGCCACTTCAAAGCTTCAGTGGTAATATATGGGATAGGAAAGAGAATTTCAGTCTGTTTTGGTTAGAACCTTCAATAAATGAGGCTCCAAGTTTGAAAAAAAGGGAAGGAAACCGAATCTCGAGCTTTTCTTTTCTAGCGGCACAAGGCTTCTTGTATAGTAATATCTCATTTATCCAACACAATGAGGAAAGGTGTTGAAAGAATTTAAAAAAATTAGTTTCTTCAAAGTATTTAAGGTAATAATTTTTAAATGTATACAGAAATTATACTACCTAGTATTTACATTTTTATATAGCTAACGTAACTAATATTTTCAAAATTCCCTGGAAACTAAAGGGAAAATGCAAATACGAAACAATATGCTAGTGTATGGGATACTTGTTGAATCCACACAAACGTACAAGACTGAGCATACATGTAAGTTGTTAAGGCAACAATAAACGTGTTCTAGGTAATCTAGTATAATGGGAAAGGTCCTGTATGATAGGGTTCTGGTGACTTGAATTCTAGTCCACGGTTGGCCACTTATTGATCTATGTGACTTGAGTATTCCCTTTAACTCCGTCTCTCCTCTGTACAATAGTTGGGCAATAGTTTTCAAAAGATAAGTGTTTTTGGGTTTTTTTCTGGTTTTAAATTTTAAGCAGTAGAACCTTTTCTTTAAATGAACTCTTCCAAGAAGCCTGCTATTTCGAATAAATAAACTCAGAGCTGCTCTGTTTGAAGTAAGGTAGGGAATCCAGATGCCTGTCTGCTTTATGCTCTCCTATTGTCCTGGCAGCCCCAAGGTGCCTCTGAAGAAGCTTTAGGGCTCCATAGAACACAGTTTGAAACCCACTGGGCCAGATAAAGCCAAAGGTCTCTTCCCGTTCTAATATGTTCTGATTTCACTAATGTAGGAATTTTCAAATGTCCCATATAAATGCTTATTTTTGGAGGAGTTTTTAAATTGTAAATATATTTTTGGCAAATAGAAAAGAAAAAGTTCAGGAAAGCTTCCCAATTCTAATCTACTACTACCTTTTTACTAATCTACTTTAACACGGTAACAAAACTAAAGAAATTAATTATACTAAAGGAATGAATTTTCCACTCTTACATTTTGACATTTTTTTCTTAATATAATTTACTTTTATTTTTTTTTTTTTATTTTTTTTTTTTATAATTTACTTTTAATTTAGTATAAAAATGTGAGTTTATTTCTCATTTTTACCCTTTTTGTAGGAGGAATGGCATTTTAAACAAATATATACATTCCTTTAAAATATATACATACACTGTTTTTTTCCAGCAGCTCACTGTGCACTTAGATCTACAGAATCACTATTGGCAATCAGCATTAAATGGCAATCTACCCTCTGGTTAGGAGCTAACTTGCTGCTCTAACCCATTTTTATAAACCTTCCTATATACTTTAATCCTTTCAAATGCAACTGTGACACAAACTATTACAGACTTTTAAAAACCTGTTCTCTTGGGAAAAAAAAAAAAAACAACTGTGGAGCATCAGTAACCAGATAGTATTCTCAAATTTCAGTGATCTAGTCCATGGAGCCGTCCCCTATGCACAGTGCTCTGTTTCATGCAGTACATGGCTTTAGCTGGCCAAATCTTTTTTTTTTCCCAATGAATCAGTAGAACAGTGAAGATCTTACTTTTTTTTTAAGCAGTGGCATATCAATGAGGCACAGATGTGTATTCCAACTCTGCATGGATGAGCACACTGTTCAATAGTGCTGGCTCACACGGTATCAGGGCGAGTTATCACTTCCCATGAAGGCACTCTTATCACCAGGGCCCAGAGAGGTGGCTGCAAATCGCAGCCTTTTTATTTTCAAGGCAGTTCTGCTGAACATTCAGGCTTCAAAGATTCACACTTCCAAAACTCTATAAGAGTTTGTGAACGCTCAATTTGCCAAAACTGTTTACAGTGTAATTGGGCACCGTACCTGTGTCCATGAGATAGCGAAGGCGCTTCTCCACCAGCGCGGCACGGGTGTCAATTTGCTTTTGCTCATTCTCTAGTGCTGCCAATTCTCCTACAACATACTGACTGGTGTCTTTGAACCCTTTCTGTTAACGAGAACAAACAGGAAGGAAAAAAAAATCACTTGTAAGTTGCATTTTTCCTTTCTACAAACACTTAGTAGAGCACTTACCTAGAGAACCAAATAACACCGTTACTATCACCCTTAGTATGAAAAAGCAACTCCCTGTGATTCAAGAAATTTTCATAAATACTATGTATAGCAAAACTTTTGTAAATAGAGAAAATCTCAGCTGTTTAGTATTATATTTATAATTTAACGACCAGATTTGCCATATTTAAACAGTTAACACAGAGAAAAAAATTCTCCTTAGAGTAAAGTCAGAGAGTTTTTTAAGCATAGACAGGGACAGAAGACAATTTTCCCCTTGGTGATTGTCAAAACAAACACCAATGACACCTTTCATTCAAATGTGCGATATGCAAAAATGGAGCCTTACTAAGGAATTGCTTCTTAAAGTATCTATCCTGAAAAACACAGACATGATCTTGCAAAAATACAAAATTAAAGAGACACATTTCTTGCTTTCATAGTAAATATACTATTTAAAATACTTTTCAAAAATGATAAAAAAAGAAGTTTCTAATATCTCGAATTTTCCCTCCAGCTGGCTGCTGTACTTTAACATGTCGTTCTGTTGATGTATCACTAATTATTGTAGCTGCGAATTCTAACTTGACAGGTGGTTTCAAACCTTGCTACAAGGATCTCGTGCAACTAGTACAGTGATTTGGTTAAAATTCCATCCAACCAAATTTGGATTTCAATTTGAAATTTTACTTTTTACAATCATCCATATTTAAAAAATTATCCTTAGAAGTTTTATTTGAAGTAGCAGTTCTATCATAAAATACCAGAAATGTTTAAGTGATTACTTTCACTACCACCACTTCTACCATCAGCACTCATAACATTATGTATTCAGAGAAACAAATGTGAACAATCTCTTCTATCAAATCCCTTCCCTACCTAGAAGCATAATAATCTCTAAGAAGCCATGAGGAATTATCTTTGGGTACTCCTTAAACAGGAAACAAAACCAAGAATTATGTTATTTATGAGCATATTCTGGAATTCCCATGATCAATGAACACATCTAACCATGCGTATGACTTATCTATCTTCGGAACTAGTAAATTCACATGTGAACTCTATATCAGCTTACTGTTAAATAGATTTTGGTAGTTGACAAATTTAAAGATCAAATATATTTGAAATCATAAAACTGATAATTTCTCAGGATAGTGTGATCAAATAAGTTACTATACTTTTAAAGATCCATAAAAATAGATATTCTCCCATCTCAATATGAAACACAACAAAATTATAACAGAATAAATGTAAACGGAAACTTTAAAATCTGGGATAATCTATCTGCCATATAGCAGAGCATTTTCATAAAGGACTTTCCTGTTTTGTCCCATACAGACAAAACAGACACAGTCTGCAAAGAAAACATGAGTAAGAAAGAAAAGAAAGCAGAAATGATAAGCAACACATAAACTTCATTGTTTTTACTGATTGGCTCAGTGAAAAATAGTCACAAAGTTTATAACCAGATTTCTTTAGTGTGAGTATACAGGATACTCAAGTATTCTCCAACTTACAAATTATACCAAATATTCCATCATGATATATGAGTGAGCTGTTCTATGTACTAAAACCTGCCTTAGTACAACTTAAAAAGAGAAGTTTTAAGGACCCTAACCTGTAGTCTGTAATTCTAAATGCACTTACAAGGATTTAAAAATCCAGCAAAGACCATTTTAACAGTAAAAACAATGAAAATATTTACACAAACTATAGATAATAAAAAAGTAGCACCACTCTTAGAGAGCTATGCACAGACAAAAATTCAAGTTGAAACTTGTTCTTCCTGCTTCTGTCCCGCAGCTGTCCATCAAAAGCAGCTTTCTCCCTGCGGTCTATCAAATATTTCCCTCACAAATCAATTTTACACATGATCAGCCCATACCCCTACTGAGCTGAACCTCCCCGTTAATTAAGTGAAGAAATTACCATATATATTATATTAATGCAAACATCATTCAGCTAGTAATTCACGGCTGATCTGGATAATGGAAAGGTTGAACACCCATTAACCCAAGCCAACAAAATGGGTTGGCTGAGAAATTCTAGCAGGTCTCATGTGACTTTTCCCTCTAACTGCAGCTCTGCGGTATCTGCTATTGTAATAATTAAAATCCTCCTGGTAGATCAATACTGGAATCTCTTTATGGGAAGTGCCCTGATGGAAATGTCTCAAGGAAGCTGGGGCTGTGGAACTCTGAAAAATTCATTTTTTTTTTATCTGACAATTATCACCACACTGCAGACTAATTCAACAGTGCACCCCTCTCACTCTGCTTTGAATGCACTGGAGATTGACATCTTAAAAAACCTAACATCTCATTTTAACAAATAAAGGCACTATTTCCACATACAGTTTGGAATTATCAGCAATCATGAAACCACACAAAAAATTAATATACATTAAGCACTTCATCTTCTGATGGCTTCCTCTGAGTTTCAGTTATCGCTGCCTTCTCCTCATTTCCTTTCTTTGTATCTTCCTGTATTGATCTCTGCCTTTTCATCTCTTAAAAAAAAAAGGGGGGGGGAAGACATGTAAAATTATTATAAAGCTTGATATTTGTGTATTGAAATGTGGATTTACATTATCAGCTTACACACACACACACACACACACACACACACACACACACATAGTTAAATACTATTAAATCATAAGATGGGAAAACATTTTTAAAAGTGTTCCTACCTGGTCTATTCTCAACATATTGACTGAAAGACTGCAGTTGAGTTTTTCTGACTGTAGAATCCTTGCTAAACACAACAGGATTTCTAAATCGTTCTGTTGCTTTTTGTAATCGCTCAGTCCGGAGATCTTCTGTGCCGTTCTAAAAGTGAAACAAACATAGTTAAGAGCATACTGGTTATATAAACATGAAATTGCATATTAGCAAAACAACTTTTACTAATTTAAGATAATGTCAAATTAGAAACTTTTTGATAGAAAAAGGATTTCAAAGAGCCCTAAAGAGTTCAACTATAAGTTCTGTTGCCTATAACCAAAACTTTGGGAGGCATAGTTTAGATGGAGGATCACTCTTGATAACTTTGATTCACTAGACACTGCTGTACACCCCTGTGTCTTCTCCCAATGATATGTATAATTTAAAAGCCATGGTGCTTCTGGCTAGTTCCCCACTATTCTGCCCCATCAGTTTGTACAGTCCCACAGACTTGTATGACAAGAAGAACTAGTTTCTAATTTTATGCCCATTGAGATAAACCACTAATGCTGGATGAAGGCTAAAAGGTAGGATTATAATACTACCCCACTGAACTGCATTTCATCAGCTATAACTTTCCAAAGCCAGATTTGTAAGTAAGCCCTTTACAGCTAAGGAAACTACAATTATCTTTTCCAGGGCTTCCTATGTTAATACTGGTAACAAATTCAAATGGTTCTATCAACAAGAAATATCCCAGAAGACTGAACTACTGCAGTGTGTGGAAGCTGCAGATACCGAGGTGCTGTGTACCAAACAAATATTTCATTTTATACCTAATCTTTTATTATTTTTATTAAGTGTTTTGAAAGTAAATAGGGAAAGGCTAAGATGCATGACTAATAGCTAAGCCTGCTGAATGCTGAAACTGGTTATCAAAAGCTACCAAGACTTTGCCCTTCCTCTGCATTGAGACAATCAGTAATGAGGGAGCCCTCCAATGGCCTATTCTCTAGCCTCAAGGAGGCCTGGGATACAGAATCCTCAGGGGAAGGTAACAGTTTATCCTTTTCCACAAACACAGAATGCCTCATTTATAAACGTGTAAACTGCATTTTATTAAAAAAATAAATAAAACCCGAAATCAATGCTGAAAGCTTCAAGAGAACAGATGGACTCTATATGTTCTTTATAAGCACCATTTAAAAAATCTTAACTAAAAAGATCCATACAAAGACAAGCTGTTTAAAGCACACCTTTTGTTGAAATAACTTCAAAAATTACCACATAAGAGATTTTTAGAAAACAAAACCAATTTCATCTATTGAGACAATTAAATCTTAAAAATGAAAATACTTCCATTTTACTTTTTCAAGCTCCAGAATATCTTTATTATTAGTAGAATGCATATACTATGCTAGCTATGTAGCTAAGATAGAGACAATTTTGGCTTTTATTTGTTTGTTTAAGAAAAGTGTGTATTCTTACTGCTATTACTATAATTGTCCAATGGTTTAAAACTCAAGTCTTTACCAAAATAAACAAACACGGCTAAATTTTTTGAGGCCTGGCAACATGCTAAAATATCAGTGCGATTAGCCAGCAAATCCCATCTTAAGAAACGTTTTTATGACTAGGGACTTCTGCCACTTTACAAATGTATTCCTCTAAACCCACTAATTCAGTTAGCCTTTTCAATCTATTGTATTATTCTTAGGCCAGCGTCATTTTGCATTAAATCCACTGCAGAAAGCTAAATTGAACGCAAAAAATCAGACCTGATCCAGGCTTCCTTTTGTTCAAAGATAGAGACCAAAAGTCCTCTGGTGCTGCCACACATTTTCATCACCAATTTATAGAAACCAACAGTATAAGGGAAAAGCAATGAAAGTCATTGTTTTGGGACTTCAAAGCATCTCTGTGTCAGAGGAAGGAAATCCTTTCAGTCAGCAGGGCAGTCCCCATAGTCTGCAGGTGGGTGAAAAGTTATGCAGGGCTAGAAGTACCCTAAAGCTACAGAAATATTAATGATGCCATGTGAGGAAAAGAGGGAAGGCTTGTTGAGGATAGTATAAATAGCCTAAATAGTAATAATCTTCATGTGGCATTTGGCTAAAATCTCACACAAGTTAGGATTCATATTGGCACAAAACACATGCAAGTATCTTTGTGTACAATCACATACCATCTTCAGGTATTAATTAACGTTAATTCTAATTTATCTAAACAGGTCAGAGGTTGAGGGTAATAGAAAAAATACTGGAATTCCCTTAGCAATACTCTTCCTAGCAAAATATATGTACACATAGAAGTCAAGAATAGTTTCTACATTCACGAACACATCAATTTAAAGTAGTAGTTTCTCTGGAAAGCGGTGTATGAATACTGATTACCATATTGCTACTTAATTGATTCGTTATTCAATAAAAAATGTATATCTTAATGTGAAAAACCTGTAAGAAATTGATTTTAGGATTATAAAGTGCCAGCGGAAGCTAGAATGCACAGAAACAGAGACAAATATTTTAAACAAGTGGGATTTACCTTAATGTCTTGCTCTGAGGTCTCAGTTATAGCCTTCTGTGCAGCACTGGAGAGTGAATTTGCCACCTGTGGCTGAGCCTCTAGGAGCTTCTTTAGCTTCAAGTCCACCAACTTAGTGTTTTGTTCTGTTAAATAACACAAATACTATGAATAACTGAGATGCATTAAGATTTATAGGCTATCAATTTAGGAGACATCATAAAATTACTACTATATATTTTAAAAAAGACATTAGGCTTGTGAAGAACATATCATACCTGACAAATACAGAACTTTTCATATATATATATATATATATATTTAACAGTTTAAATATATAATATACATGTATTATTTAAATATATATATTTAAACTGTAAAACATACTATATAACTATAGTACAACTGAGTAGTCTTTAAGTATGTTAACTATATTCTTTTTTTAAATTAAGATACAATAGATATATAACATTGTATAAATTTAATGAGTACAATGTGCTGATCTGATACATTTATATAATGCAATATAATTACCACTGTAGCATTAGTTAACACCTCTAACACATCATATAATTATCATTTCTTTTTTGTAGTGGGAACAACTAAGATCTAATCTCTTAGCATATTCTTTGTATATACATATACATATATTCTTTGTATATATATATACATATACATGTATGTATAATCATATATATTTTCTCAAATAATCATATAAATCAGTTCCCTTAAAGAATATAGTCAATATACCTTAAGACAATTCAGTTGCATCATATAGTGAATAGTGGCTATGTTTACCTGAAAATCTAAGTCTGCATTCGATGCATACATTTATATAAGTAACTGCACGGTTTATACATAATAAAACAAGCTTTCTACAAAGCAGATATCTAAAACAGGCAATACAACTTACCCTTAAGTTATATTTCATTTTCAATTTTTCTAGTATATTAAGTTTATACAAATAATACCACATTAAAACAAGTTCTTAACATGATCTCAGTCATGCACACATTGTTAGAATCAATGTTTAAGTGTGTACATTTATATGCAGCATTGAAATAGGGCATATTTTTAAAAAATACCTTAGAATTAGTGGGCAGAAACATAACAATCATATTTTGGAATATAATAACTATGGATAGAAATGTAAAATAAATAAAACATAGCAATAACTTTTAAAATAAATAATTTCAAATTATTTTTAGCAAGTACATTAATCTTTAATAATAAAATAATTTAGAAACAAATGGAAACAAATAATTCTATTTAGGCAAATTCACTCAAAGGAACTCTTTAATAAAATGGTTGTAAAAGACATGCCAACCATTTGGTGAATGATATTTTTCATAAAGATTAATAAGTTTTGTAATTATAAGACTCTTAATAAATGCTATTATCATTACTTTCATGCAAATTGGTCAGTTTATATTGCCAGGCTTCTCTTTTAAACAATATCTGATGAACTATGGTCAAATCAAGATAAAGATTAAACAATTTATTATTAAAACATTATGACTTTTATATACATATTAAAAAAAGAATTTTGGGGAAAATAAAGGCTAAAAATCATAATAATTAAGTCGTAATACATGCTACGTGCTTCCAGATTCCAGTGTGCATTCTTATTTCTTATTGCCATGAAATAAACTATAGTCTGGATTGGAAAGTCTATCCTATGTACAGGCCAACACTTATTGACATGCTTGAGAGTTGTAAACAATGTATAGTTAACTCCAAAAATAAGAAGACTGAGAGGTCTTTTGTTTGGCATACACAAAGTAGGAGTTTTTAAAAAGGACAAGAGTCAAGCTGCTTAACCCTAAATATATATTTTTAATGTGAATGGAAGTATTTCATTTTTTAAAAAATTTGTTTTATTAATTTTTTAAGTAATCTCTGTGTCCAACATGGGGCTCAAACTCAAGATTCCGAGATCAAGAGTCACATACTCTACACCAACTACGCCCATCAGGTGCCCCTAGCCCTAATATTAACCAAACATAAAAGTAACCCATCAAGTTGCTATAACTAAGATGAGAAAATTCCCCTCACCTTACCTAAGAAACAGCTAATTTTTCCTATCTTCATACTCTACTGCAAAATCAGAAAATATGTATCATTTATTGTCAATGATTTTATACTTCTCTGAACGGAATCTTAAGGCTTTAATTCTATACCTCTGAGTGCCCTCATCAGTAGTGTTATTGGTTTCTGATAAAGCCTTTGGTGGTGGTTGTGGTAAGGGGCTGGGTAAGCAACAACAATCTTTTTCTTTTCTTTTTCTTTTAACAACAATCTTTTTCAAAAAGAAAAAAATCAAACTTACCAGCTTCTACATTTTAAACAGAAATAAAAGGCAGTCCTAGTTTTGGGTTAAGCATTTAAGTTTTTTCCTTAGATATCAGCATCCTTCTGGATTTGCACAATTATACATATACTGACTCCTATTTAGTAAAAGTATAGTTTAACACTAGAGCATGAAAGAGCTACTGAGAAAGGGCACGGGTTTTCTTGGGTACTCCCTATAGTCAGGAAGACCCTAGGTGATTATTTCTTGAAGAAATGACACCATGATTTCAAACAGAAGAAGAAGAAACAAAACAGGTTAGCACTGCAGGGACATGCCAGGGCTAGGAAGAACACCCGTTCTCACTCCCTTTAGCATTTTACAGGAAAAGATAAATATTAGGGACTTCACTTCCTCACCTTTAAGTCTAGAGAGATTGCCAAACACTTTTTATTGCTAGAAGAATTCAATTCAATAAGCATTTGTGGAACCTCTCAGGTATACAAAGCTTTCGATTGCTATCTGATGCTGACTTATAAAGGCAATGCATGTAGAACCAAGTTTACATCTTTTAAACCAAGAGTAAGTATGTTATATTTTAAACAGTAACAGTGCCTATAATCTGTGCCTATAATCTATAACAGTGCCTATAATACAGATTGTCTGTATAAGCAGTTTTTAAAGTGTCTTATTGTAAATAGTTATTAAGTACTATATATTAATTTACTGATATTATGTAAATACTTAAAGTAAGCACAAAAATTTGCAAAATAATATTACAAGTGAGACTATCAATTCTAAATCAAGTCAGAAAATCTGATCCAGGGTTGAGGTTTACGTTTGAAGTTTCATAGATACTACATCTATACCTTACAACATTATATCAAAATACTTAGGCTGAGATGGGAACCAAGTTTTGAATGCCTATAAATTTTCTCATATAATATAAAATATAAAAATGCACTTTAGTAATAAGAGAATGCAAACTATAATTTATTATTCCAATTGTATTGCTAATTTTAACATTAAATCTAAAACAAAATAACATAAAATTGATGGAAAGTGGATTTAGCTAAATGATTTGTGAGGGCATAAGATAAAATAAAACTACAAAAAGAATTTATTATTATTGATGAGGTAATAATAAAAATATGATAAAGTTTGCCATGCAGCAGGATGCAAAATATTTATAATTTGAAATTACCAGGAGTATCAAGGTCACTTTCTAAGTTAGTAAGTTCATCTCCACCTCCTACAACAAAGCCTTCAGGAATCTCCTCGTTAGTATCTATCTCAATATTATCATTTTCATCTGTAGGAACATGTAGCAATAATGTTAGTACATTATTTCTATTTTATATCATTTATCCAAAACACTAAAGTAGAAAACCCAGTATTTTAAGACAGTTATTCAAATATAGTCTGACGCAGATCAGCAAGAAATCAGTTTTAAGTCACTTTTCACTACTGGATTAACATTTATATTTTACATTCATATGTCAAAGATGAATTGTTACATCAAAGAAGTTACAAAGGTTTTGACAATTTGCCACATGCGTTCTCTGAATCACTGAGCTCATCAAGTCCTTATATTTTAAAATGTAATGTGTATGTAATCTCTGACAAAAGACATACAAAAATAAAGTTGCTTTGGTAATGAAGTCATCAAATATTTCTAAATTTCACACTTTTAGCAATTATTAGAAATAAATGTATAAAGAAACAAATCATTCTTCACAAACTTGCAGCTATATTTAAATCATTTGTATGAAGACTTGAATGCTTTTCCACTATTAATGAATATTATCATGAAAGCATTATGGATACTTTAAGAGACACAATTGAGCCTGGAACAGACAGAACCTTATGCAAAAGAAAGTTCAGAAACAATTAGAACAGTACATCTTGGAAGACTGAAAGCTGAAAAAATTTATTGTTGAAAATTAAATACATGGAAATGAGGAAGTCTTACACTAGTTTTTATACACTTAGCAAAATGTTTTGGGTCACAATTAATTAATGGAGGTTTTGTCTACATTAAAGTTTTCTTTTACATACTTTTTTCCTTTCTAAATCCAAGTGATAAAACTGGTTAAGTAATTTTGAATTTATGCATTTCAAAAAGAACAGTAATAGTTTGATTTTCAGGTAAGAGGCTTAGCTTTAAATTCTGTTACTGACAGGCATTGTATCTTTGAGCGAAATACTGTCCTAGCCCTGAAAGTTGAAGAATATCCCTACTACTCCACTATTAACCTTTTATTGGGAAACTTTTATTAATAATGAGGTATTCAAATATCATTACAAGTGACAAATTCCAAAATTCTATAGTTTTGGCTTAATCCTTCAATGTCTGTCCTTTTTCCTGTATATCTTTGTGTTTGATTTGGGGCCTCCCCAAGTAAATACTTACTATGATCATTAATATTAATAGTAATAGTTTACACTTATTGAAGACATCCCATGTACTATGTAAGCCATTTAGAAGAGCACAATAAAGAAAAAAAAAGATTAAGAAATGCCTCTGGGGAAAAACATTACTAAATGCTTTCAAATCGCTAAGGCATTATACTTGGCTACATTATTTAAGTACAATCAGTTGAAAGATGTTGTCTAATCAATTTATTAGCAGAAATAATTTCATAAATGTTAGCATCTTCATTATCCTTAAAAATTCTTCTCTAAGTAATTTTGCAATGAATGAACAAGTATTTCCCAAGTGCTAAGTAAGTGTTTACAACACTTCCTTGTATTACTCTGTCAGAGATAGTTCACTATCAATAGTTCTTAGAGTGTTGCTGCCAACTAGCCTCTATTGATTATTACTGACCATAATTAATCTAGAGCGAAAGCACAAAATCCAACATTCATTCATTTATTACCAAAATTTCTACTGCATACACTGCTAGATATTGAGAAGATACCAAGCTGTATCTTATTCTACCTTAAAGGTATACATTCAAGGACTACAAAACCATATACATGACAGGTAAGTGGTATGGGATAAAAACAAGTTACAGAGCAAATTCAAATGATGAAAAGATTTCTCCTTGCCAACAATACCAGGAATTGTTCTTCAGAAGCACTAACTTTCAAAGCATTTAAAATTAAAAAAATTTTTTTTTTTAACATTTTATTTATTTTTGAGAGAGAGAGAGACAGAGACGGAGCATGAGTGGGGGAGGGACAGAGAGAGGGAGACACAGAATCCGAAGCAGGCTCAGGCTCTGAGATGTCAGCACAGAACCCAATGCAGAGCTCGAACTCACGAACTGTGAGATCATGACCTGAGCCAAAGTCAGACATTTAACAGATTGAGCCACCCAGGTACCCCCAAAGTGTTTTAAAGGGAAATAATAGGAGGTAAGACTTGAAAGGTAAAACTGCAGAGAGCCCTGAAGGGCAGAATGGGAAGTTTAAATTTTACTTGATAGGAATGGAGAGATACTGGTGTTCTAACATGATCAGCACTGAACTCATTAACAGTAGTCTATATAAGCAATTTTCTATCAAAATGTCTTACTGTAATCAGTTGTGAAACATGTATAAAATAATTAGTAGTAATATAAGCAATGAAGTTTATTACTTGTATAAATGACAGTGGTGTTAATATTATTCCTAAAATATCACTCTTGCTTACCTTCTGATATGCCTTCCTATGGGAAAGAAAAAGTGGTCTAAGGATTGACCAGGGAAGTGTACTATATAGGTGACATCATCCTTCCTGTGAGTGAGATTGCTGACCTAGATGTCAGACTGGAGAACTGAAAGGAAATCAAGGTCAGAGACTTTTATAACCTTGAGGCAAGCAGTACAGAGAGCCTAACCTAGTATACAAGAATTGGAAGTGGGTATGATGTGATTTGAAAACTACTGATGGGATACTTGGTAGTTGGGGATGGATACTAGAAGAAGGGTGAAGCCGACATCAAAATTGACCCTTCAGTCTAAGTGATGAAAAGGATGGCACTGCTATGAAAAGAAATGGCGAAGTCTGGAAATGTGATCAGATATGGGTACTTTTAGGGCCCAGGGATATGCAAAAAATTGTATTTCCCTTCATTATCCATGTACACAGTGTTGGGTTCCTACATGATTTAAACAGGTGCCATTCATTTCATTTCCAGTTAAATGAACTCTATTTACACTACCACTCATGAGTAATGCTGAGTGTTTATATATGTATTGTTAACCTTAGATGAAAGTATTACTATTTGGGAGGGCAAGAGTAAAAATTGATCTAGACAGCTTAAGTCTTCTTAAGAATGGATTTCTACTTTTCATTCACTGACTTTAGTTTTAGGGCAAACCCTTGAATTCTTTTCAACAGTTAATATTACACATTTCTTCACACCTGTAGAAAAAGTCTAAATGCATTCTAGCAGAACCAAGGCGCATGTGCTGTCTGAAATATATTACAAATTATGTATATGATATCTATCTATCTATCTATCTATCTATCTATCTATCTATCTTTGTGGCTAATCATTGAAAACCCAGCAGGTGAGCATGGCAGAAAGTAAATTAGAGATCCAACAGAAGTTAGTTTATAAATATGGCACATACAATGTATGCAGGAAAAGGTAAAAGGAGATTGAATATGACAGAGTGCATTACAGTTGACACCAAGCAGTACTATAAGCAAAATGGTAATCCCAGTAATATGACTAATCACATAGCAATAAGGCTCGTCTTACAACGCTTATCATTTATAAATAAATTAAATGAAAAAACAGGGTATCTGGTGACAGTAAAAAAAAAAATCTACACTTTCACAAAAAGAAGATGAGGTGATCATAAAGACATATTTAGAAAAAACTTCAGAAAATACGTTCAGAAAAAATTTTCTCAATGTATCATGATTTTTTAATTCACACTGAAGGCTCCTATAAAATTAATAACTTGTTATTTTAAGTAATAATATTTGTTATTAATAATATATGTACTATATATAGTCATTATAATGTAACAATAATCAAATATTAATATTTGATAATAAAATCAAACAAGAAAGGAAACACAGTGCAAATATAATTATTAACAGAAGCTAAATATAAAATTATTAAAGGCCTATAAGATTTCATTTTGGTTTAGCAAATTTAGATAAATCTATTTGCATAACCGAAATAAAGATAAGACAGGAATACAAACATATTCATGGACAAAATTAAAGAAAAAACATTTCCTTTATACACTTAAAATGCAAATACAAAGTAACACTACTTTATCTAAAACAAAGTAAGGCAACAATGTCAGTGTAAAAGTTAAATGACCCTACCTAACTCAAACCAAAGCGATAAACTACAGAATACATATGTATAATAAAAAATACATATTTAATATATCATAAAACATAATAAAGATATTATATAATATAATCTTAAGATAGGATTAATACCTCTTTTCAAGTGCCCATGGACCATTAACAAAAAGTTAACATTTATTTGGTCAAAATAAAAACTTCTTAATTCCCAAAGCAGAAATTCAGGCCATATTCTCCAACCACAACACTATATAGGTAAAAATTAAAATACCAACTTTTTCACCAAATACTTGCACCTTGCCAAGTAAAGGCCAATATAATAAAATGAAACCACAGTTTGCTATATAGAACCAGAATTTTTAAAAAAGTAGATATTAATGTTTATTTATTTTTGATAGAGAGACAGAGTGTGAGTGGGGGATGGACAGAGAGAGAGGGAGGCACAGAATCTGAAGCAGGCTGCAGGCTCTGAGCTGTCAGCACAGAGCCCAACAAGGGGCTCAAGCTCATGGCCCGTGAGATCATGACCTGGGCTGAAGCTGGACACGTAACCGACTGAGCCACCCAGGCATACCCTAGAACCAGGATTTTAAAATGAGGTTATTATAGGTCTACAACTACAGAATGATGCAAAAATTGAAAAAAAAAAAAAAGTATGCAGTACACTACAATATCACCTGATTCTTCTATAAGCCCTAAAATTATATCAAAAGGAAGACAAGTAAAAGCTGTAGCTCTTTGGACAGATATGATTCTGTTATTTCACAAGAATTAGGCTATTTCTGGTTTCAAGAAGATGCCAGTGGGTTGCTTGAATATATGGCTATATACATAGCTTAAAATACTTTGTGTATATTTTCTGTGGACACCATGAAGCTGAAGACACTGCACTTGAAACTTACTAAGTTTCCTTTCCTCACTAAGGCAGGTTGCTGCTTGAGAAAAGAAAAAAGGCATGTGCTTCAAGCAAGTAATGAATCTGAGTAACAATCATGTTCAACACTTTCCCCAGGCTATGCTTCTACATCATTTTTTCAACTCTTGACTACTCCCTCTGCCCTCTGAACCACTGCTTCCAAAATCTTCCATCCTTATCCTCCATCCAGGCTAGTCCCTACTTATTTCTCTCTCCTTTCACAATATTCCTTTACACAGACCTAATGATTCCCACTAGACACTGGAAGAGTAGATACTAATTTGTTAATTTTCCCCCTGATTTATCAACCTCATAAGGTCATTTTCTCTTAGGAATTAGACTCTTGTGAATCCAAGTGAATTCCTAATTTGCTATGCAAGGGTCAGCAAACTATAGCATGGGGGTAAAATCTAGCCCACCACAATTTTGGGGTAAATAACCAGCACATCCATTAATTTACATAAGGTCCAAGGCTACTTTCAGGTTACAAGGGCAGAGGTGAATTGTTTAAACAGAGACCATATGGCCTTCAAAGCCGAAAATATCTACTCTAGCCTTTTTCAGGAAGTTTGCTAAATCTTGGCCTAGCACAGTGACTATCATGGCTCACTAGATTAATGCTTATGTATAATGGTTGAATTTCAGGCAGGAATTTTTACCCTCTCCCTTGTCTTAAAGGTCTTTTCTCCTACTCCCAGCCTCAACAGCTCCAGCTTAGATCTTGAGGCCAGAGTAGACCTAGTGTGATCCACATACCTTTATGAAGGCAGGACAATATCTATCAGGCAATAGGCCCGCTCCACTTGTGGTAGGTAAACCTTAGCTCTGATTAAGAGCCTGATACGTGGCTACCATTTGATACGTGGTTGCATTCAATATCCAAAATATAGTATGTCCCATAGGAGAAACAGATTCTGGTCACTTTGGTCCTTAGGGAACAGAGTCTAGACTCTTCAAGTTTTCCTAAGTTATCTGGTGAATCCCATCCAATCTTCATTTCACCTGGCTTTCCCTATTCTAGTCTATACTTCTTTGCTAGAAAGAATCCAATCCTGGATTCTGTAGGTTCAATCCTCACTTGTCTTTTACTTTGTTGACTGTTGACTGCTAAATGATGCCAAAATCAGGTCTTCACATTCCCTAGTTGCCAAGTAGGAAGGATACCCATTCTTTGAGTCATCACACTGATGGAAGTCTCTCCATCTAGTCTAGTCCTGGTTTAGCCTCAGCTAGGATTGGATTTTAGTGATAAGACCAATTACACAAATGACCCTTCCAACCTTGGACTCTACACAGATGCAGAAAAGCTTGGCTTTGACTATTAGGAGGCAAATACCTGATTGATGGGGGCACAGGGTTTATCTATAAAATTAACATAGATTAAAAAATATATAAAAATAGATACAAGAGAGAAAAAAATGAGTATCAGTGTGCCTGAGTCTTCCAAAAGTAGTAGATTGATTAAGTGCTACCTTAGACAAGGAGGAGAAAGACAAAATGATAAGGGATGAAGTTGGTAGAGCTCATGAAAAGAACAGGCCAGGAGGGGCTACGTGGACAAGAGAGGATTCAGAGACACGTCAGCACCAGTGCTGGAGACGACCTTGGAGTGGGCTCCACTCATGGTCTATGATAAAGCCTTTGCGTCCTCCAGTGACATCTGCCTGAACGCTGGGGTTTCGTTTTAATACTAACCAAACTATCTAAAAATAGTAACCATAAGTAATAATTAATCATTAGTTAAAACATTTAATTCTTAGCCTTCCCAGAGTTTATAGCTTATTTAAAATAGTGTTATTATTTGCTGACCACTGGAAAAAAAAAATAAGAGACCCCAGACACCTCTCTATCCTATTATTACTGTTCTCCTATAAGTCTATGATGCCACAGGAAGGAAGCATTAGTAGCTTTAGAACACTTCATCTGGAGAGTTAAGAATATAGGTTTTTTTCTATATTTCGAGATATAAGGAGACAAAGATTTTTACAACTTACTTAGGATACATGGAATTTTTATGATACCAAAGAAACATCTTGTTATTAATAGTTATGAAAGCAAATTATCATATTATTATATAAGTATGTAGCCATGAGTCGTTACTGATGTTACCATAAAACTGTAGTAGAGAGTGTAGAAACTGCATTAAAAATTCTGAATGAGGGGAGTTGAAAAGTAAGATGAAGGCTTTAAGAATATATGAACATTCTGACAAGACCAGAGGGACAGACACACAGCTGTTTAGGGAAGCAGCTTGCAGATTTATGGGACAAAAAGTTATACACTACAGGCATTAGCTGGCATTCTCTACAAGACTAAGTTTTTAATATATGGAATCAATTAGAAATAACAGCAGTAAATTTCAATTTACTTTGAAGAAACTTATCATCAACCTAGAAGTGGCTTACCTCTGCTACAGTTCTCAAAGATCTTATTCAAGTTCACACTTGCCTACTCTTCAGAATGATCCTAGCATTCTAAGATCAACTAAGGACAAGTACCTAGCATGTTTTGGTAGATAAATAGGTTATATACCTTGGGGGGTAAAAAAAAAAAACCCAGCCCACAGACCTCTTGAATATACTCCTCTTAAACAAAAATATAAAAAGTTCCAAGTTAAAGATGCCCAAGGTGAGCATTAGGAGGCAAAATCAAAATTGTCTTTAGTTATATAATATGTAGTCCTTGTCCCAACATCAAGCTTAGAATAATTTCTGCAGATACTGAAGAAGATCTTCTTAGAATAAGGAGACTAAGAAGAAATGGATATGGGACTTACTCAAAATTCTTCTGTGTCAGGCTCTAAGGCCAGAACATTGTTAGGGCTACTTTCTAAAGATCTAATTAGAAGCAAAAATCTTTCACGTCAAAGCTCACCACTAACAAGTCTTGTGACCTGTGTTTTGAGGACCCGATTACATTTTATTCATTCCTAACTATAATTAATGAGACATCATAGGGAATCACAAACCAAAGTCTAGATGAGTTTTTTCCTAAATCATATTCTAAGAAAATACTTCTAAGAAAGTAAAAATTAAGCCAAAAAGTTGATTTAGAAAACAGCAATAGTTATCATCAGATTTACTAAGCTTCCTATAGGTTCTTTACAACATATCAATAGGTTAGAAACTTTATGTATTTGATGCAACATTTTGAAGAATAAAAAGTCCCAAAAGGTCCACTGCAGATTTCTAGGTTGTCTGTAGAATATGATACAAGATTCTTTAACTCACCTCCAGATGCCTTTGACCTTTCTTTCAACTTTTCTGCAGCCATTTCACCATAGCTGGGAAGTTCTGACATCTTCACTCCAGATCGAGCTTCTGCTATTAGCTGACGAGCTCTCTCTCTCAGCTGCCGACGTCGCTCTTCATCTTGCTGCTAAGATATATTGAACAGTTGCCAACTCAGTAATTGACAGAAATGCAATTTCATTTTCAATCTGATCATCATGATAGTAACTGGTTTACAGCATGGTGCTTGGCCCACATTATAAATAGGATGCTCTATATCAGTTGGATGTCACACCATTTTTAAAAGACATCATAGAATCAGATTTTTAAAAAATATTTACAAATTATTATATTAAAATGCCTGCTAAAAATTCAAACTAGTCTTTAAAGAACGCTGGGCAATATTTATTATTGAGAAAATAGAAGGGACTATTGTTAAGAAAATAATCAGGCTTACAGAAAAAGTCAGAATACTAAAAACAATTTCAATTAATTCCTTATTTTTTAAAATATAATTTAACTTGCTATTTTCTAATAGAGGTATAGAGCACTAATAGACATCTCTGATAGAAAATGCTGCTATACCATATGATCAAATATATGAATCAGAATTTTTAGGGGGCTAGAGTAGGAATAGAGACAGTATATTAGTTCCACAAGTCATAGATGTTCGTAGTTTTAAAATCAGAATTGGCTAACTGATATACTGTCCCCATTCCTACTCCCTCTCAAATGCCCATTACAAAGAAACAATAAAATCTAACATGGTGTTTTTATATTTACGTAAAAACTGCAGAGTATGAAATAACTAAATTTCTGCCTACTAAAAAAGTACTATTATGAATTAAAATAATCAATATGAAATTGCTTTATAAACTGGAAAACATATAAAATAAGGCATCCTAACAAAATGAAGCCTGAAATAATGTGGCCTCAACATATCCTTATAGTGTAAATTTCCCTTAACCTCTCCCAACCTCCATAAAAGTTCTCATCTATTTATACAGAATTGCTTCTGTCGTGTAGTTTCATGTACCCAGGGATTTGAATATGTCATTTCCTCTTGGAACGTTCTTCTCTCATTTGATTTAACTCCTACTCATTTCTCAAGATTCAGTTTAAATTCACTAAATTTCCCAACTATTATTCCCTCCTCCCCACTGGTGGAATAAAGTCTCTTTTATGTATGTTACTATAGTAGTGTGCGTGTGTGCGTGCGCACGGGCACATGTGTGTGTTATTACTTTTGAAACTATTTGTCAATTTACATTTTAACTATGTACAAATGCCTCCTTTTCAATAGAATGGAGTCATGTAGAATTAGGAGCTACATCTAATTTATCTTTGTATCTCTGGTCTTTAGTACATTTTTGTACTTGGTACTTGCTATAGAAATTTCAAGAATGGAAACTTGTAATTTATACACTCAAATGTTTATAACACAGAAAGAAAGGTAAAATGGCCAGAATAAGCAAATCTGATTAAATTGCACCAACGAGTTCAGAAGAAAGAACATTTTTGGCTGAGGGACAAACAGAGGGTATCATGACATCATGGTTTTTGAACTGAGTGCAGAAAAAGCAGGACTGAAAATGGATAGAGATGGTAGTCAGAAGTTGGGTGGGTCAGTGTGGTCAAAACTACAAGTAGGAACAATACACAGATACAGAGGCAAGAAAGTACAGTGGAAAAGAAGCATTTAGTCTAGTTTTCTTGAGCTTAGGACAAAAATAATAACAGAAAGACAAGGCAAGAAAAATAAAGCTGGGCAGATAAGACTATAGGATCCCTGTCCAATAGGGTGATTTATTCTAAAGAAAGTGAGGTTTTGGGGTTGCCTGGCTCAGTCAGTTAAGCATCCGACTTCGGCTCAGGTCATGATCTCACAGTTTATGAGTTTGAGCCTTGCGTCAGATTCTGAGCTATCAGCTCAAAACCTAAAGCCTGCTTTAGATTCTGTGTCTCCCTCTCTCTGCCCTTGCCCTGCTTTTATTCTCTCTGAAAAATAAATAGACATTAAAAAAAAAAGTTTGGTTTCATGTGTTGTTTTTTTGTTTATTTGGTGTCTAGAATGACCAATCACAGGTGTTATTTGAGAAAGACGAATCTGACAGTAGTGTATAAGGTAGGTTGGCATAGAGAAACTGGAAAGAGACTAGGCAGGAGGTTCTTATAATAGCCCATGGAAGCTGTAATGAGATCCAGAAGTAGGATGGTGCCAACTGGAATGAAATAGACAGTGTAAGAATATATTAGATGTAGAAGTGGTACCTATACCATTTCTTGGTAACTGATTAGACGTGGAAGAAAGAAATAAGTTGACTCAGAAGTTTTAAACTTGGGCAACCAGCAAAACTGTGGCAAAACAAAAATAGATAAACCAAGGAACTATATATAGGAAGGGAGGGAGAGGACATTTGGGGTAAGGCAGACTGAACTGGAGAGACTGGCTGGACATGCGAGTGAAGATGTTAGGTAGTAGATGGGAAGTGAAATTCATGTTAAGAAGTGAAGTCAAACAAGGACTACAGAGCTGAAATCACAGGGGTATATGAAAGCATATAAAGAGATACTATACACAAAAAGGACAGCTACTGACTCAAACATGGAAAATATCTATATTCAGATAAGAAAAGAAAAGGAGATAAAGAGAAGAAGAACTAGAACACTCACGTATCCTGAGATCAGGATGCTCGTGAAAAAGAAGGCAAACAACTGTAGTAAATGTGAAAGGTTAGTGAGTCTGAAGATTATAAAGGGCAACTAAACTCGGTAGGCAATATTATTAGGGACAAAGAAAGACAACAGATTGGTGCAGCTCAAACCTAGGCAATTCTTTCACACATCTGAGATGGCTGGAAATGAGAGCTGTCAAAATTAACGGGACTAGATTAATAGGAGTATCAAATGGACCCAGAGGCATGTTTGAAGCTCCCAGTAAACAAACTCCAACATTTTCAGTATCAAAAAGAACAATTACTGCTGTGAACTGAATCAATGAAATCACATGTTGAATCAATGAAAAAGTCATCAATTCAATGTGATATTCAAAAAGTTCTCAGCCAGGGGTGCCTAGCTGACTTAGTTGGTAGAACATGTGACTATCAATCTTGGGGTCATGAGTTTGAGCCCCACATTGGGTGTAGAAAAAAAAAGATTTGTGAAAAAAAAGAATGAGGAAAAGATTTTTAAAGTTTCTTAGAAGGATGTATTAATTCATTTGAGGCAGCTGTTAAGACAGCTCCTCCGAAAATTGGCAATTAGAGGAAAAGAATCCAACAATTATCTTGTCCTCCCAGTAAAAACTGAATTTTAGGGTAACCAAATAGTCCCTGTCAATGAGAAAAGCTCCCCTTCATAAAATAACACCAGCTATAATTTTTAAAAGGTAAAATTACAAAAACATAACTTTGTCATTCATAAAAGAATGACTCTGGCATGGATTATCAACAGTTATTTAAGCTCTTTGATATATGTCTGATGGGAAACTAGATAGTCATGTTATGCAGACTATATTTTCCAAAGATGGCCATGACAGAATTTCTCATTCCACATGTTCTCTGCAATGTGACTTTGCCACTCCCTCATCAAAAGGCAGAGTTTAATTTCTCTTCCCTTGAATCTGGGCCAGCTTTAGTGACTTGTATTACAATAAGTAGAACATGTCAGTGTTGGAGGTGATTTCCAAGGCCATATCCTTTTTGCCTGGTTCTCTTAAAATTCCTGCATTTTTTACTTTCTGGTGACCCAGCTGTCATGCCAGCTAAGTTAAGCCTTGAGTTTCCTTGGCCACATATCAGATATATGAATGAAGAAGCTTTCAGAAGATGTCAGTCTTTAGCCATTTTAAGTAAACCCCAAGTGTCAATCTTTCCTCGTGGAAGCCCCAGGCAATGTGCAACAGAGACAAAGCATCCCCAGGGTGTCCTGTCTGAAGTCCTGACCCACAGAATCTGTGAGCAAAAGAATAATTTTTTTTTTAACACCACAAAGTTTGGGGTAGTTTTTACACAGCAATAGTAATTGGAACATATGCTTAAGTAACACCACATGGTTTACTTCCTAGCTGCAAGGAGAAAGCCTACTTGTAAATGGAGAGCTCAGAACTACATTAGGGATTAGGGGACACTAACCTATTGGTCAGTCTTGGCATCATTAATGTTGGTTCAACCATATGTTATAGTATTATATGTTTTTGATGTGAAGTACGTGAAGTACACATCACCAATAATATTCCAGTTCAAATGTTTAAAATGAATCCACTAAGCCTTTCAATATAACTTCCAGTTTATCATATACACAGGGGATAGAGTAACATGATAAATGACACAGCAAGGAAGCAACCAAATAAATCCAGAAGGTATGACATTGAGGATAACCGACCTGGTCATTTTAATAAGTTATGAAAACAAACACACAACAAAAACCAACTAGCCAATCAGTCACTATCATCACCAAAAGAAACTTAAGCAGATACAACGTATAGTCCTAGGTTAGCTAGTGGTTTGGAAAAACCAGCTGTAAGGGACATTGCTGAATCAATTACAGAAATCTGAATATAACCATAGTATTAAACGAGAGCAAATGGAATTGACTGAAAAAAAATAATTTATGTAGTAATAACCTCATTTTGTCATTTTGGCAAAATAAATACACATATATATGTAGAGAAAAAGACTTGGAAGGGTATTCAAAGTTGGTATGATGGAGATATCTAGGTGTGGAAATGTGGTATTTTTGTTTTCTTACTTTCATTTGTCTTCATTTACTAGTTTCCTATAATACACATGTACTACTCTTACAATAAAAGTTATTTTAAAAAATAACCTGGGGTGAAAGAAGGAAAAGATGAGACAGTAGGTTTCCTAGGATGGGTGGTAGTTGTAGTAGGAGCAAAATAAGAGATCTAACATTCAAGGGTAATTGTCCTAGTATTTACAGTCACAAGCTTATTTGTAGTTAGAGAAGTAGAATGCATTGGGAAGGGTGAGATTGAAGAGGGGGGAATAATATGCATAAATCCTCAGTTCACTAATATTTCTGAATTTGGAAAATATACTAGGAATAAAAAGAGATGTATGCTCAATAATGACGATTTTGGTAATGGCTGCTAAGTATTTCTTGGCATTTATGTACTAAGTGCGGTAT